CAACATTTTGCCTATTTACTTCCCAAATAAATGTATTTTGTTTCCAGTTCTGAAAAAAAACACATCATAAATAAATAGCACTCAGTACATAGGTTACTGACAACCGAGAAAAAAAACAAAGAAAACAAAAGGATGTCATCCTGTCATAGCAATGCATGTCAATGGCCGAGCTCCTGACACACCCTGAGCTGACAGGGGAAGCAGGGTGTCTTTAGAAAGCTGCTAATAGGGATGGTGTGGGCCAGTGCTCCTCGTGTCATCAGGTCTTATAAGAATTTTAAAATCCTCAAAACCTAATTTAATAACAAATATGTAATAATAATTACAGAATTAGGAGTTGAATTAAACATTAGAAGAAGCTTTCATGTTCCTGCACCAGAACTGAGCATCGTCTTTGGAATGGAAAGCCATTTACTCCAGTGGCAGTCTGAGTGAATCAAGACTTGAGCAGGAGAATTGTCATGACAGAGCACCTTAATAAGTGAACTTTCAATTTGATTTCTCCCTGATGGCATCTCTCTTTTTCATGGTGTGGAAGTATACATGTGCCCTGTTATTGTGGCATTTAATCAACTAGGAGAATTATTTCATAATTTCAACACAGTGTCCCCATAATCTTTCTTTAGCTGATGATTGCATCTTGATTTCTTTTTTAAATGTGGTAAATATTACTGTTTCTGCCACATAGATTCCCATCTGATGCCTTGATACCAGTGCTAAATGCAGATTCCATCTACAGTCACTATTTGTGAAGGAAAGGTTTTAAATTAGCTTCCTACAATTATTAAATACTAGGTCTAATTTGAAACTGTGATCAGCCTTGTGGGTATCAAATGAGAACAGATCTTTTGTATGCTCAGCATTTTATTCATTTCATACTTTTGCATTCTTCATAAACAGGTGCATTCGCTCTTTTAGTGAGGAATCCTATCTCATTTCTCCCTTTCTGTCTAGCCTGTTTTATAAGCTGCTGATGACATAAAGATAAATGTAACAGCTTGTATATCTGCCGAGCTCCATTGCTTCACACTTACACAGTGACATTTTTTCTTGTGATTTTGGAGCTTTACTTACTGTTGCCATGTAAGAACATTGTCTACATAAAGCTTTATACTGTAGCTCATTCACATTGATTGCTATTCATTTTTCTGTATTTTTTTTAAATTAAAAACAAAGGACCTAATTATCTCCATACACAACTCATGGCAAAGGCTGACAGTGTGTACTGATCTGTTTGCATTGCTCAATGACCCCAAACAAGATACCAAACTGAAATGTTTCATGTTCATCCTTGTTACAGAAAACAAAGATTTATTTACTGTAAAGCTGAAAACTCTGTCATTTACAATTATGGCCTCCACTACAGCTTGGATTACTAAAAAATATGTGAGCTAGGAATCTCGATAAGATGTCCCGAGAATCTGGTTTGCCTGTCAAGGTAGGGTCTTCACACACTGTTTGAGATTCCTGTTGCAGCACTATCCATTTGCTGAATCTCATTTGCACATAGCAGGTGGTAGAGAGAAGGGCATCACTTTCTTTAACATTATAACAAGGTAAAGGTGGCATTCCAAGAGTGGGTAAATATGCAGAAAACCGCAGAATCCTACTTGGCCGTAGGGCATGATAAAAACAGGCTTTCTACATCATATTAATGCCGAATCAGGCTCTATTTCCATGGCAATACACCCTAAGACTTGTCAAATATCACATTCTATGGAGCTTCAGACCATCCTGATTAGTATATGCTATAAGACACACTTGCATTATGTTAGACTCTGGAAAAAAATTAGAAAGTTAGGTTCTGTCAAAGCAATACAAACATCCCCGGAAACAAAACAACAAAAATCTTGTACAGAAATAGATGTTTATTTGATGGAGTTTTTTCCAAAGCAAAAATCTACGGTATGTACATTTGATATGAAAACCTGCACCTGTTCTTGATTAATTCCTTTTTAAGAAAAAAGACACGGCAGGAAACAGCATAAAAATATAAAAACAAAAGTACTAAAAATGACAAAGTACTTTACATAATAATTATTTACAGTAAGCTTAAGTCTGCCAATCTGAAGGTTTAACCTCATCTAAGGAAATAATGGTAATAAAAGTAAAATTATAGGAAAAATCTGCAGACCTTGCCAAAATCTGTCAGACTGAAAGTCAATTACACACCTTGGCAATTGACAGTTCCCATTCACAGCAGGTAAGGACCCTGACCCTAGTACCTCTTAAGTGGATTGGATATTAAATGCAAAATATATTTAAAATAATCTTGTGTAGTCTTGCATTTTAATTTTTTGCTGAAAAAGCTATGTAAAACAAACAATCCACAATTAAACAAGGAAAACAAATAACAGATTTGAAACCTACGTTTTCTAGCAATAGTAATTTTGGGGTTTAGTTGCTCTTGAAAATACATTACGGTATCCATGTCCAGATGGCAAATGACTCTCCAGAAAACCGTTTTGAACTTATGTTGAATTTATGTATGAACTTGTAT